CATCAGAGGAGCAGGAAAGCTTTCCTGCTCCTCTGATGCTGCTTGGCCTGCTGTGTTCATCCAGCTCTACACCTTGTTATCTCAGATTCTCCAGCATCAGCAGTTCCTACTATCTCTAGAAGAGGAAGAACACTCTTTTAACAATAGATCAATATCGTCAAAGCAGTTTTTAAAATCTCCATTATCAATCTTTATTGACAAATAAAGTTATCTTAGTGACCTATACGGATTTCAGCTGTTACTGAATTGTAATTTGAAAACTCATGGCCTTTGTGAGAAACTGTGAAGATAGATTTGTAACACATACTTTGGTTATAAAACTTTGCTGATTGTCATATCCAACCCATTGATTGTCGTTGAATGCATATGGAACCAGCTGGTCATCAATCACGTCTGAAGTAGCAACTCTCAAAAATGTACAAATCTGTCAATCAAAATCAATAAATATTTTCAACATATCAAACAAATGAATTTTTTTTCATAGTTTAAATTCCATTTTTAGTCATCAGTTAGTTAATTCCCATTGTTAATTCATAAAAGGTATTTAATTAAAACAACAGGTAATACAAAACTTTAAAGGGATATTAAATATTAAATTAATACGGTATTATCTCTTTAATTCTGACTGAATGTCATGCCAGAAGGCAGGAAGAGAGATTCTAAATTGTTTTATAAATTGTTATTTTTTTTTATCTTGTTTATACTTTAAAATTGACTCTTGTTGAGTTTAAAATGACTGATATCAAACACAATGGGCTAATTAGTGGCTTTTCAAAAATTTCAAGCAGTAATGAGTAAAAAATCTAGCTCAACAACTCTCTGGAATGTCACACTTCCCATTTGTATGAACATTACAGTTCAGCCTGTTGTAAGTGCACTTTACCTTTAAAAGAGTTCACCTTTAAGAACTCCATGCGCTGTACGCATTCAATGTAACAATACTACCTGCCAGTTACTCTGCTTTGGTTTGCAAGCTGCAAACACAGAAATCTATAATGCCTGATTCAGAACTTGTAATATGGTTTACTGTTTCAAATAAACTAAACCATGAAGTTAATCAATAACTGATAAGTGTACATTATTAGACAATTATCACTAAAATGTCATGATAAACAGTGGTGTAAGAGATTATGCTGATGAGACCTACCATGCTTGACCAGTTAGCAAGCAATTTAATCTCCAGACCTAAATAATGCTGCAGTGCTTATGATAACCCTCATTGTCTTCATCCATTGCAAAGTTGGAGAGTGTTGAAAACACAGTTTGCTGGCAAGTAGACAAATCCCTAGTGAGAGATGAGGTTACCTAACTTAATACAGTCTACTGATTCCCTTACATGCTAGATTGTAGTAAACAGAGAAAAGGCAGAATGTCCACAAAATTCCTACCTTCCCCATAATTGTCTGTGTATTTGTTTTGGAAAATCAGAAGTATGGGTATGGTTAAGAAATTAAAAATATAAAATTATGTACCAGGCTTTGTAGCTAAAATCGTTTGGGTTTGGCTTTGTCAGTGATCTGGCTCACAAACTAGTTTTCATGGCACAGGACTGAAGAAATAATGAAAGTTGAAACTCTCAGGCATGATTGAGAGATTCCATGTTCTTGTACTTTCTGCCATTCAATAAGACATTAAGTGAAATGTCCACCTTGCTCTATTGATAATGATCATGTGACAAAGTTTGGACAACAACAGGGAGTCACTGTGACTCATAGCCTAACACTCCAATCAGCAACACCAATGGTCCTGATTAGGCAGCCATGTGTAGAATTACTGGATCTTCCCAAATCTTGATTCTCCCAGCAGAATGGTGCCCTGGCTTCTCAGTCTGTTTTTTATATGAGGTTTTAAAATTTTGAGAGGGACGGCACCTTTTTTTATGATGCACCCACACTCTCTCGTACCTGAGAAAGCACCCTATGCTTCTTCAGTGCTGGAAAGCTTCCTATTGGCCTTCCACCTTGAGAGCTGGATTACCATCCTGATTGGATTGTCCACCAACTGGCCAACTGGGTAAATCACAGTGGAGGCTCTGATTCCAGTTCAATATTGATGCTGGGATTCTGAAACCTGTGGTGAAATTCCTGGCCTATTCAATTTAATCATGAACAATTTCTACAAAATATATGTTTTACAGAATTTATCATGTAATAAATGAATAACTCTCTTAGCATAATTACCTCATAGTAGGCCCAGAATCCAGCCTCCCTGGTTATTTGGCCTGGTTGGCCAGCCCCACTTACTGGAACACCAACACCTGTTTGGGAGGTGCTCAGGGTGAAACTACGTCCGTAGGTTGGGAATCCAACAATTAAATTCTCTGCTGGGATACCACCATCTCTCCAGTACTTCATTGCAAAGTCCTGCAATTTGATAATTTGACAGCCTTATTGAAATTCTACAAATGAAAATGGTTTGCTAAGACATGCAAACCCAAGGGGAATCCGGTGACCCTTCCTCAGATCTGAGGAAGGGTCACCGGACCCGAAACGTTAACTCTGATTTTTTTCTTCACAGATGCTGCCAGACCTGCTGAGCTTTTCCAGTAACTTCTGTTTTTGTTCCTGATTTACAGCATCCGCAGTTCTTTCAGTTTTTATACGGTGGTAATTTCGCTATCTTAGTGCTCCAGAATGCCCAGGCCGGTGCTCTTGGGATATAAGTTCAAACCGCACAACTGCAGCTGGTGAAATTTCAATTCAATTTTTTAAAAAGCTGTCCTAATGGTAATTGTTGGCAATTGTCATAAAAACCCATCAGCTTCACTAATGTTCTATAGGGAAGGAAATCTGGACTGGCCTACGCATGTGTCTGGACCCATACAATGTGGTTGACTCTTGTCTGGCAACTAAGGGTGGACTACCTGGTGACATGTATTAAAAAGAAAAGGAAAAAATTGCAAGTGAGAATGAAATCTAATTTCACATACTTACAACATTAAAGTAAATAAATTTTCCTTCATCAGTGGACCCACGGTAGAGAGGGCTATTGTGACCAGTAACGTTCTCCCAAGCCCCATGAAAGTCATACGTCATCACACAGATAAAATCTATGTATCTGTTGAAAAGAAAAACAGGATGTGGCTGCTGAATATTATTGTTGTCATGATAAACAAGGAAATGGTCAGTCTGCCCAGAGAGAGGTCTCGGAGTTTTTAAATGATGCACTTGGAGGCATGGTGGAAGTGAACTGGAGGAGAGATGTTACAGTTCCAAGAGGACCAGAAATACTCTTTGAAAGGAGTGGTCAAAAATGACCAGATAAGTCAGCTCCTAGTTATTCACTTAGAAGAACCCAGTGACAATGCCACAATAGCCTCATGTGGGTGCTCAAGGCCAGTGAATGTAACCTCAGTTGCAACAACTTAACACATCAATGCATCCTCCCAGACTGTTTAATGCATCAGACCTCCAATGCTGACCCATCATCAGTCCCCATGGCACTCAGGAGTTATGCAGATACACATCATCCATTGTCACAGATTTTACTCAACTCCTGCTGCTTGCTCATGACTCGAATTATTCTGCCATGGTCATCACATCTGCCAAATGCACTGATGTGCTGTTTTGCCTTGTTACTTGCAGGACTGAAGAAGTAAACGAGCCAGATAAAGCAAGGGGTCATAAAGCTTGAATCTGGAGAAGATGGCTCTGCGTACCATTGGGGTGACTGCAATGGAGACTGTATCTTTGCTCAGAATATTATGAATTATGGCACATTCCACTTGTTTGCTGCTTCGCAACTTTACCTTCGTCCTGTTATCTGTTGTGAGGAACAAGTTACAGATTGAGAGCTCATGAACTTTTTTTCCTTTCAAACTCTGCCTCCTCACCCCCAACTTTTATCTTCTAATTTTCTGCTTTCAGACAGCCAAGAACTGCTGCATGTGTAACCATTGCAACTGGCAGAGGAGGAGGAGAGACAGCTACACATTTATGATGGTGAAAAGGCTCAGTCAGTTGATCTGACACTCATTGTCACCAGCTTCAGGTACTGGCACTTTCCTGGTACCCCAGTTACCTCAGGGACAAGAATAGAGTTGGGATCTACTCATGGTGACTCACTCTGAAAATGCAGACTGTAGCCGTGCCAGGGTAAAAGATGGCTCATGTAACAGCTCGCCAGAGAACAAAGTCACAAATAGATTCAAACCGGGCAGCAGGCAGGGTAATAGTTGTCTAACCTCTCGGGGAGCGTCCTCTCACTGTCAAGGGGAATTGTGGACTCAGGCTGTTACTTGGAAGAAGTCTATCTTAGCATATTGAAAACTAACATCTTCAAACTGGTCAACTGTTTTTCAGTAGGGAAAGGAGACTCCTTTAATTAGCTTATTCCGAATATAATGTCTGATATGTATTGAAAGCTTTTCCCAAAGCCTGTGACTTTCAATCTTTCTGCAAGTTGCACTTACCTTGAAATTTCAGCTACTTCATATCCGGCATCAATGGTGTCTTTACCAGCACCAACTGCAGCTGTAAGCAAGAGTCTCTCCTTTCCAGAAGACTCTCCCTCTGTTCTGAAAGCTTCCTGCAATTCCTGCAAATGATGAGTGCACTTTGATTTCTAATGATGATAGACATTATTCAAAATATAGACTACTGTAGACAAAGCTCCTATGCTATGCTGTTTCCCTTGAACTGCGTCATTGACTTCAGCGATATCTGTGCACTCCTTTGTGATTCTGGTTTAAACTAAATACACTAAGATCATTCTTCAGTGCTGGTCTTTCAGCCATTTCCATGCAGGTGTGATCGTGACTGGCATTGGGAATGCATTTAAAATAGAAAATGCTGAGAAAACCCAGTAGGTCTGGTGGAACACAAGAACCTTGGAACTGAAAAAAAGATAGGTGCGGGAATAGACCATATGTTTTTGACCCTGCATTGGCAATCTCTTGGTTGAACAGTTCTTGGTGTCATCTTTGTTTACTTGTCAGCTCCCATAGCCCTTGACTGCCCTATAGTACAAGAATCTCAGTCTTGCATATATAGTTTAGTTTCAAAGGCTCTCTGTAAGAAGAAAGTATTCTCATCTTTGCCTCATGTGGGTGAGTCCATCTTCGAAAACTATGCCTTTAGTTCTACAATCCGCCCCCTTTCCTGTGAGATTTCTAATGAAAGATCTTTGATCTGGAGTGTTATGTCTCTCTCTCTCTCCACAGATTCTGCAAGAGCTGATGAGGGTTTCCAGTATTTTTATTTCAGTTTTCCAGCAGTTGCAATACTTTGCACTTGGGAATGAATTAGTGGTTTCAGGGTTTCCCAGCTCATTTATGGTTGCTATGGATTTTTTTCCACTATCTAAAGGTGAAATATAATCTTATCTGAAAGGAAAGAAACGCTAGAGATTTTGTTGCTCAAATAGCTGTTCTCTGTAAAATTAGACCTTAAAAATTAGACCTATCACCTTGACAAAGACTGTAAAACGTTGTTTATCTTCCAGTGGACTGTCTCTGGAGCCAGGATACTCCCAGTCCAAGTCCAAACCATCAAATCTATGGTTCCGAAGAAAACTGATTGCAGAATTGATGAACGTTGTCCGAGCTTCATCTGTAGCCACTACGTTTGTAAATCTAATCAGAGAAATAGATTGGACATGAGGAAAATATTAAGTGAGTAAATCTCCTTTGGAGAACTGATGGTGTATTTATTTCAAACTAGTACCACTGTTTTGAACACTTAACATGCTCATACTGAGCTGTATGGTTTAAAATTTAATTCCTGCAATTTTTAAGAACAGCACAGAAAAATATAAGATCAAAGCTTCATTTAGGAACATTTTTCTCTGTTATAACTTTTCTGTTACTTATTCTGCTTAACATACAGGTCCCATGTCTATTGTTTATTTTGGCTAACGTCTCTCGGTAAATCACAAGAGGTTCAAACAACAACAAACGCCCAGAAAAAAAATGCAGAGACATTGGAACTAGAAAATGCTCCTAATTCCAATCTCTCTGCCTCATGACCTTACCTGCTCTGGACAATCATAAAACAACCTTAAAGTTAATTTCCCTCATTTACAATTTACGTTTTGAGCTGGTGAAGCCAGAGTCTATAGGTGCGAGGCGAGAAAAGCACAGCAGGTCAGACAGCATCAGAGGAGCAGGAAAGACAATGTTTCAGGCCAAAACCCTTCGTCAGGACGAGGCGGGGAGCCCAGAAATAAATAGAAGGAGCGGTGTGGCGTGGGGGTAAATGTAGGAGAGATGGTGATAGGTGGATGCAGGTAGGGGTTTATTGTGATTGGTCCATGAGAAGGGTGGAGCAGATAGGTGAGTAGGAAGCTGGATAGGTTAGGTCAGGTCAGGAGGGGGAGGCTAGATATGGGATAAGGCTGGGGGTGGAGGGATTTTGAACCTGGCGAAGTCAACGTTAAGCCTTTGGGCTGTAAGCTTCCAAGGTGTAGTATCAGGTGTTGTTTCTCTAGTTTACATTTGGCCTCACTCTGACAGTGGAGGAGGCCATGGATGGACATGTCGTCAGGGGAGTGGGAGGGGGAGTTAAAATGGATGGCAACCGGAAGGTTGGGTTGGTTGATGCATGGCAGAGCACAGATGCTCCGCAAAGCAGTCCCTGAGTGGTCTTTGTAGGATTTATGGAACAGTCCCACTTCCACAACTATACCGGCACCATCCCTCACCTCTTTCTCCACTATATTGATGACTGCATTGGTGCAAGGAGCTCAAACAGTTCATCAACTTTGCCAACACCTTCCACTCTGCCCTCAAATTCACCTGGACTATTTCTGACACCTTCCTCCCCTTCCTGGACTTCTCTGTCTCCATCTCTGGAAACCAACTCACCACCAACATCCATGTCAAACCCACTGAATCCCACAACTACCTCAACTGCACCTCCTCCCACCCACCCTCTACAAAAATACTATACCATACTCCCAATTCCTCCGACTCTGCAGCATCTGCTCCCAGGATGAGGCATTCCACTCCAGGACATCCCAGATATCCTCCTACTTTAGGGACCATGATTTCCCCTCCTCTGTAAGTAAGGATGCCCTCAACCCGATCTCCTCTACTTCAAACACTTCCGTCCTCAAACCCCCCTCCCCCAAAAGCAGAAAGTCCTCACGTACCACCTTACTAACCTCTGGATCTAACGCATCATCCTCTGACATTTCTGCCACCTACAATCAGACCCCACCACCCAAAAGATATTTTCCTCCCCACCCCTGTCAGCTTTCTGCAGGGACTGGTCATTCTGTGACTCCCTCGTCAACTGTACGCTCCCCACCAATTCCTCCACTGCACCCGGTACCTTTCCCTGCAACTGCAAGAGGTGCAACACCTGCCCCTACACCTCCCCTCGCACCTCTGTCCAAGGCCCCAAACAATCCTTCCAGATCCAGCAGAGATTCACCTGCACTTCATCCAACCTTATCTATTGCATCCACTGCTCCTGATGTGGTCACTTCTACACTGGGGAGACCAAATGTAGACTTGGGGACAGGTTTGTGGAGCATCTGTGCTCTGCATGCATCAACCAACCTGACCTACCAGTTACCATCCATTTTAATTCCCCCTCCCACTCCCCTGATGACATGTCCATCCTTGGCCTCCTCCACTGTCAGAGTGAGGCTAAACATAAACCGGAGAAACAACAGCTGAAATTTTGCCTTTGAATCTTACAGCCCAATGGCCTTAACTTTGACTTCACCAGTTTCAAAATCCCTCAATCCCTGCCCCACCCAATCCCACGTCCAGCCCTCCCCCTTCTGACCTGACCTAACCTGCCCATCTTCCTACTCACCTATCTGCTCCACCCTTCCCATGGACCAATCACAATAATACCCAAGCTGCGTCCACCTATCATCATCTCTCCTACCTTTTTCCCTGTCCAGCTCTTCCCTCTATTTATTTCTGGGCTCCCCTCCAGCTCCCCAGCCCTGACAAATGGTTTTGGCCCCAACAATTGACTTTTCTGCTCTTCTGATGCTGTCTGACCTGCTGTGCTTTTCCAGCCTCACACCTACAGACGCTGGCTTCCAGTATCTGCAGTCCTTATCGTCTCTGAGCTGGTGAAGTTAAATGCTTTTTATAACGTTTAGTGATTCACTGAGTGTTTTTAAATCAAACTAGCTCTAACTCACAAAGAAAGCCTACCTTTCCAAACTGATCATTATTTTAAGCAGTGTAGGCACCATGGGCAGAACTTTTTCAGACACACAATGGCGTGGGCATGGGGAGAACGTTGAGAAAATGGGGTGAGGTGACCAGTGACAACATCAAAAGCAAACGTTGTCTCAAAGCCCAGCTAAATGTTGAACATCAATGTGGACTTCCCACCACTGAGCAGCAAGAAGACTACTTACAATTATTATCATGCATTTATATCTCATCACAACCTAATCCTGCCTCCTTAATATGTAACACACTGTTCTTTAACCCACTAGATAAAAAATAGATGAAGACTATTCTTGACAAGGAAGTCAGAGTGGTTATCCAGTGAATTCAGTTTACTGTTACCTCCTTCAGCTCTCCATCAAAGACCAGCATCTCAGGGCATGCTCCACTGGCAGGAGCTGCGTGCATCCCACATCTACGGTTTTTGGCACTCAGCACTAATAAGCCTCACGGCATCATCATGGCTCATCTCCTCTCCATTTACAAGATGGTTTTGTACTTCAATGTTGCATATTTTTCCTTCGCAATGCTGTTGTCAAGATACTTTACAGACAGAGACATGCTCCCATCTCATGGATGTGACCAGGCTGCAGCTCAAGACTCCTTGCCTGCTCTCTTAATGCTCCTTCCTTATGCATCTGATAGCATGCACACAGCAGAGACCCTGCCTATTTGGTCTTTGTCTGTCCAGTTACAGCTTATATACTTACAGTAATTCTGCCTTGTCTTGTCTTGCATTTTAATCTCGACACAAAAACAGGCAGCTTATTGTGGTTGCCAGCAATCATGTTGCTATATATCACCATACTATGTCATTCTCACACCAACACCATCTTCCAGCAACTGTGTGGCAAACACACTGCATGTGTACCAACCAAATGGGCATATGTCAAAGTGTAATGAGTCAAATCTAACCTGAGTGTACTAGATTCCCAGCAGCATTAAACAATCTCTCTCTACCCTGTCAAGCACCTTCGTAATTTCATATGTTTCAATGAGGTCATTTGTCATGCTTCTAAACTCCAGTGGGTATCAACCCAATTTATTCAGCTTTCTATCATAGGATAACATTGTCCTCCCAGGGATGAATGTAGCAAATATTTGCTGGACAGTCTCTGAGACAAATATATCCTTCCTTAACTATGATGTAGAGGTATTGGTGTTGGACTGGGGTGGACAAAGACAGAAGTCTCACGACACCAGGTTATAATCCAATAGGTTTATTTGAAATCACAAGCTCTCATCACCTGTTGAAGGTGCAGCGCTCCAAAAGCTTGTGATTTCAAATAAGCCTATTGGATAATAACTGGTGTCGTGAGACTTCTGTCTTTGTCCACCCCAGTCCAACACCAATACCTCTACATCTCGTCACCTGTTGAAGGTGAAGCACTCCAAAAGCTTGGGATTTCAAATAAGCCTGTTGGACTATAACCTGGTGTCCTGTGACTTCTTCCTTAACTATGGAGACCAAAACTACACAGAAAGTAAAACTGGAAATCAGGAATTGCAGTCTCAGACAAGACCTCTTTACTTGGGCTTGTCAATAGAAAAAAGTAATTGAACGGTGACACAGGTTCCAATCATTAATGGTAAAGTTTGGACTGGTGCAAGGTAATTCCTCTTCTCATGCAGAATGTCAAGCTATAGAATAAGCTCTCCTAGAAGAGAAAAGAAAGAAAGGTCTTCCATTGACAGCGTACCTTTCATATTCTCAGGATAGTTTAAAGAACTTTTTTTTAACTGGAGTCACTGTTTTAGCTTAACGTATGCCAGACATGAATTAAAATTATTTAAGCAGCGATCAGTAGCTCCAATGGGGGATTGAAGGCCTTTCTGTGAGAAAATACAACAAATGACTTTCCTTATCATTAACAATCTTGAGCGGCTGTGAAATGTAGAGAGGTATGTGGGGAATGTTCTCTATTAAGTAACTGGAATATCATTCAGGACAGATGATTCACTCTTACCATCCACATAATCATTGACAAATGATTTACTCACATCATTGATGATTGAACACCTACAATATTTCATCATAATCTTTGGAGTATTTCAACAAACTTCAATGATTTACAGACACTACAGAGCCAATGTCATATATTTAAACTCTTTGCAAATAGATTCATACAGCACAGAATAGACCCTTCGGCCCATTTGAGTCTGCACTGACATAACTACCACTAAAAGTGCACAAATCCCAATTGCCTGCACTTGTCCCATGAGCTAAAGTTGATACATTGTTGAGCTTTCTGATTAGCATCAATCTATGTTTCTCAGCATCTAATTGACAAATCTGTTAGGAAAGATGGAATTCCTTAAGCTTGGTACATGTTGACACAGTCTTTACTCATAATTGTAAATTTCCAGCTTAACTTCAATAGCCATTTGGAGAAATACTGACATTATCAGTTGTCAATTCTCAAACATTACTTTTAGACTTTCACTATTTTGTGAGCATTAAAATGCGATCATTATTACCTGGTGGTACCAAAATTCCAACCTCCAATAGCTAAAAGGGTTTTCAGATTATTATTTCTATTAAGAGAAAGAATACAAAGCTGTGATTTTCAGGATTTCCGTAAGGTATGTTATATGATCATTACACTTCTCTGTCATGATGATTACGCAACAGTTCTAGTAGTTATCACAGTCACAACATTTTAAAGTAGTGCAATGTGAGAAAACTGAGTTTTAAAATGCATCTAAGATTTGTATGTCTGAACAGGAGTAGGCCATTCAGCACCTTGAGTCTGTTCCACCATTCAATGAATCATGGTTAATTTGTGACCTAACTGTGCATTCCTGTCTTTGGCCCACATCCCCTTAATACCTTTTCTCAACAGAAATGTGTCTACCTCAAATTTAAAACTAACAACTGATCTAGCATCAACTGCCTTTTGTAGCAAATGCAACTCAGAGGGAATGATGTGGCTTACCTAATTTTCAGATCATTGAATCTCTTGAACATGGGCTCATCATTCCATTCATAGGTAGTGAGTTCATTGTTTGCCAAGCTGCCAAAGGCATAAATCAGGTGGGTGCACAGGCAGGGGTCAACATTTTCTGGGAAGAATTTACCACCTTCTGGTCTGTACTGAGCCCAGTTTGTGTAGTAACAAACTAGTTTGTAGGAGGAGACTAAAGTGTGAAGAAAATGTTGCAGTTATTTCAAGTATTAAAGCCGATAATGTGGCAAATCTGTAAAAGGAAGACATACGATAAACTTTGCCGTATCCTAGGTCAGAACAAATATTTAATGGGCTTGTAAGAGGACTATTACTTTTGTTTCCAGGAGAACCCTTGCATTTAACTTAAAAGTAAACTGCCTTCAGTGCTTCTGCAGCAGATCTATGTGAAATAAATTAAAATTAATTTGCATGTTTTAATTTGTAACTAAGCTGAAAGAAATTTAGTTTTAAGCTTATTTCTGTCTCTGGATAGAATGGACAGAAACGGACACAGCTGTTAACCTTGTATGATGGGGGCGTGTAGCTGATGATTAGAAAGAAATGTTTGAGAGCTGGGAAAGTCACTGAGCCATGTAAACCTGTCACTTTCAGACAAGACAAGCTCAGCTTCATACCTTACACACATTTAATTGTTACTTAATTCCACTTACTGCCTCCACTTTAATGGGTTTGTCTGTCATTTATTTCACAATTTGATCATGCTTTGAGTGAAAAAGTTCAGTCAAGAGTTCACTTCTTAATGCAAACATCCTTAACTAAAACCTTTGGCTCTAAGTTTTTGAAACTTTCATTAGAGTGAATAATATGCTTGGACTAATTTTGTCACTCATGTCAAACCTTGCAAACTCCAATTAGACCACAGAAAGCTAGTCAGATTTCCAGAGACGGTCCCTCTGTGTTGCCTTGCATCACCCTCGCTGTTTCTGTCGACACACTTTCAAGTACAAAACTTTAATTCTTCTTTATCCTCACTAGTTCTCAGTGCTTCTATGTTTAAATAAACCAATCTGGCAGATAACCTCCTGGATCTATCTTAAAATAAAAGAAATTAGATTTTTAAAAATATTTTAAATAGAAAACAATTTTATAATTAAATGATTTTATAATAATTTTAAATTAATTATTGAAACTGGGATGAATCCCAGTAAGCTGGTGAAATGAATGCCAAATACTGACTGGACTGGTGAAAAATAACTTCAAAATCTATTTTGAGTCTTTCATGAGGCAATATTAAATGTAAACAGTCCTGATTTGCTGAGGGTGGCTTTTGAACTGATCAGTGAATATGATGCTTCCAACGAGGAAGAGAGAAATAGAACAAGGGATAGGGTTTCTGCATTGCCTGCAATTGTATACAAAATAATACTTTTTCACAAAGAATTTTTGTGCAAATTTATGAACAAATGTATTTGCGTAATCCTGAACACAAAAGTTTGTAGATTAGTAAAATTAAACAGTGTTTTAAAATATAACTTTTTAACATCAATATTTTGATTTTAAAATATTCCTTGATATATTCCAGATTGATAACTTGAAGCGATGTGTTTAATACAAGTGAAAATGGATTTGTCACATTACAGCTCTTTTAGTCACAGTCACCTTCATTTTCGACTATGTTTTAAATTCTTAAAAGTGACCTGTAAAAAATCTGCAGAACGATACTTACTAGTTACATGGGGCTACAGTAGTCAGTTTCTTACCAAATTAAATCTAGATTCAGGGGTTTTCAAAAGTGCCCTTGCTACCATTAAATTTTCAGAGCCTCCATAAATGTAATTTACACATATTCCCCATTATGAATATTTAATGCTAAACCATGGCAAATCTGCTGGATTAGGCCAGATTTGAGCACAAGATTATTTATAAACTTGTAGAAATGATCATGGAACTTGTTTGGACTTATCATTACTTGATCTTTGGCACTAGTTAAGTTGATTTCCGCTGAATTTCAGTGACGAAGACATTACAGTCAGGGGAAGCTCTAGACATCAGTAAAACTCACTCATCCAGTAAGTATGGGGTTGACCTTTTTTTATGCTGTTTAGGTAAACTAAGGGGGTAATTCTGACTTCAGAGAATGGCATAAATCGATTGATTGATTGATTGATTTATTGTCACGTTTACCGAAGTACAGTGAAAAGTTTTGCTTACGAGCAGTACAGGCATATCATAGTAAGCATGTACAGATCAAAAAGACTTAGACAGAGGCATACAGGTTACATTGCACAGGGTGTGCGCTAGGCGAGCTCAATGTTAGCAAGACCAGCATTATTTGAGGCTAGAGAGTCCATTTATCAGTCTTATAACGGCTGGGAAGACGCTATTCCTGAACTTGCTCATGCATGTGTTCAGGCTTCTGTATCTTCTGCCTAATGGGAGAGGTTGGAGGAGATCATTACTGGGGTACGACGGGTCTTTGGTGATGTTGGCAGCCCTTCCATGGCAGCAAACCGTGTAAATGCAATGTATGGTGGAAGGTTTACTTCCATGATGGAGTGGGCTGTGCACACCACCTTCCGTAGTTTCTTACGATCCTGGGCAGAGCAGTTGCCATATCAGGCTATTATGCACCCAGACAGTGTGCTTTCAGTGGTACATCTGTTGAAGTTGGTGAGGGACCTTATGGACATGCCAAATTTCCTGAGCCGCCTGAGGAAGAAGATGCATTGTTGTGCTTTCTTGACTGTCACGTTTACATGGGAAGTCCAGGACAGTCATTGGTTATCGCCACTCCGAGGAACTTGACGCTGTTCACCTTCTCAACCTCAGTTCCATTGATGTAAATGGGAGGGTGTTCTCCTCCTTCCTTTCTGAAGTCAATGGTCAGTTCTTTAGTTTTGCTGACGTTGAAAGAAAGGTTGTTTTTATTTTACCATATCACAAGCCCTCTATCACCATTCTGTATTTTGACTCGTTGTTGTTAGATATCAGTCCCACTGTGGTGGTGTTGTCAGCGAACTTGTAGATGGTGTTCGTTCAGAATTTGGCAACACAATTGTGGGTGTACAGGGAGTACAGTAGGGGGCTGAGGATGTATCCTGGCGGGGGGCACCAGTGTTGAATGTTATTGTGGAGGATGTGCAGTTACCTATCCTTGCTGATTGCAGTCTGTGGGTCAGAAAGCTGAGGATCCTGTTGCAATGGGCAGAGCCGTGACCGAGGTATAGGACTTTTGGAGGTGATAATGGTGTTGAAGGCGGAGCTGTAGTCAATGAGCAGGAGTCTGACGTAGGTGTCTTTGTTGTTCAGATGTTCCAAGGGTGAGTGCAGGGCTAGGGATATGGTATCTGCTGTGGATCGGTAGGCAAATTGGAGGGAATTGAGGCAGGCTGGGAGACTGGAGTTGATATGGGCCATGACCAGCCTCTCGAAGAACTTTGCAATTATTGAGGTCAGAGTCATTGGGAGGTGGTCATTCAGACACACTGCATGTGCTTTCTTAGGGATGGGGATGATGGTAGTCTTCTTGAAGCAGATGGGGACTTTGGCTTGTAGGAGGGAGAGGTTGAAGATTTCAGTGAATACCTCTGCCAGTTGGTCCACACAGGATCTGAGTGCTTGGCCGCGGCCACCGTCCGGGCCCATTGCTTTCCTTGGGTTGACTCCCAGGAAGACCGATCTGACGTCTGTAGTGGTGACTGAGGGAACAGGTGTATCTGGGGCTGTTGGGGCAGATGTCACTGTGCCGCTGGCATTCTGCTTGAATGGAACATAGAAAGCATTGAGCATGTCAGGGAGGGATGTGTCTTTGTCTGCTATCTTGCTCAGCTTCACTTTGTATCCCATAATGTTGTTTAGGCTTTTCCATAGGTGGCTGAAGTCTGTTTGGTAGGTTTAGGCCTCTAACTAGGTCCAGTACTACCTCTTGGCATCACATGGCCTTGCGGAGGTCATATCTGGATTTCTTGTATTGATTTGAATCACCCAACTTTAATGCTGCATCCAAGGTTTACGGTCGGGGAACACTGGGATTGACTCCTTTGGTACACAGCCCTCCATGCATTTGCTAACGAAGTCTGTGATGGTGGTAGCATACTCATCTAGGTTTGTTGCTGAGAACTCGAACACGGATCAGTCCACCGATTCCAATCAGTCCCGGAGGTGGTATTCCACAGCCTTGGGCCAGCACTGTACATCTTTTTTTTTGAAGGATTCTCCTGTTTCAGCTTCTGCTTGTAAGCTGGGAGGAGGAACACAGACAATGGTCTGATTTTCCAAGGTGTGGGCAGGAGATGGAGCCGTAGGTATCTTTGATGGTTGTGTAGCAGTGGTCCAGAATGTTCGGTTCATCGAGTGATATTGATTCAAACATGCTTTAAATATACCTCTCTTGACTTTCATTAACTTCTTTGTCTAAACCAAATTCAAATTATCATACTGACTGGTGGGAGTTGAACTCAAGTTCATTTGGCTTAGTACTGAAGTAAAGTAACCACCACATTACTATTACTTAGCCAGTGAAACCTATCACCGTATATAAACTATAAATATGTTTGACTTACCCAGTGATAATTGTAGAAAGGAGATCACACTCACTAAAATAAAAATAAATATATATTTTTATTTCATATCACATTTGTAGTAAATACCTCCAGGATGTTCAAAGGCACACTGCAAATTGAAATTAATAAATTAATCTGATCATTTCATGATGTAAAATGCTTATCATACTTGCTAAACTACTTTCTCTTCTTTTGGTGTCAATCTCTGTTCAGGTAAACTGACTTGAATTAGAATTACGTTTATTGTCACGTGTACTCAAGTACAGGAGTACAGTGAAAGGTTTATAATGTCATCCCAGCACTGCCATCTTAGGTACGAAGTAGGTACTTAGGTAAAATAGAGATGTAAAGATGTATAACAGAGAAATCAAAAAAATTACTTTACCTTACAACTATTCATTGTATAAGTATAAATTTAAAAAAGAAGTAAAGTTTTAAAAAATTACAGTCTTTCTATAAAGGGCCTGGAGTAGATCAACGCAGCAGATCACTTGCATGTGTTACATAGCCTGGTGATTTGTGAAAATGTAAACAAGCAGAACAGTAAAGAATAATTATCTGAGAATGAGCCAAGGGTGATAAAACCCATCCTATCTGCACAGAACGGAACTTTTAAAAGAATGCTGTGATTGGCAGTCATAAAGTCATGGAGTCATAGTGCTGTAAAGTATGGAAACAGACTCTTTGGTCCAACTTGTCCATGCCAACCGGACATCCTATATTAATCTAGTCCCATTTTCTGGCATTTAGTCCATATCCCTCTAAACCCTTCCGAGTCGTGTACCCATCCAGATGCCTTTTAAATGTTATAGTTCTACCAGCCTGCACCACTTTCTCTGCCAGCTTGTTTCATAAATACACCACCCTCTGCTTGAAGAAGCCCCTTAGGTCTCTTTCAACTCTCTCCCCTCTCACCTTAAACCTATGGCCTCTCGTTTTGGACTCCCCTACCCTGAGAAAAAGACTTTGACTATTCATCCTATCCATACCCCTCATGATTTTATAAGCCTCTGTAAGGTCATCCTTCAGCCTCTGACGCTCCAGGGAAACTAACCCCAGCCTATTCAGCTTCTCCCTATAGCTCAAACCCTCCAACCCTGGCAACATTGTTGTAAATCTTTTCTGAACCCTTTCAAGTTTTACAACATTCAATGACAATGTTTGGATGAGATGGTAAGTTGTGTCAAAGTCTGCATGTTATTGTGCATGCAAATATATATTGAGACTTGGACAATTTTCTCACAGAAACAGTCCTCTGGTTATGTATACAGTGTGGAGCTGGAGGAGCACAGCAGGCCAGGCAGCATCAGAGGAGCAGGAAAGCTGACATTTCGGGTCGGGACTCTTCCTCGGAAAATTTTCATTTCGCTTCAAATAAAGAAAATAGTATTAAAAATATACAATACTAACCACTCCAAAGAAGCTCCTTCCCCATCTGAGTTCTCTGAAGATGTTCACTCACTGGTTTTACCGTCAATGGTGCCTTTGATAGTGTGTGCATGTAATTTTTGGAAGTACCTGTGGAATAAATTATAAGTATGGTAGTAATTCATACAGGAATATTGTCTTAAAGTATGGTAATTGTTTAATTCAGATGGAACAGTATGGGAAGGATGGTGGAGGGGTGTGTGGTATGGGAGCAGTGTATTAAGGCATAAAGGGTATGGACAGGAAAGGAGGGGAGGCATGGAGAGGACGTGTCATGTGAGGCGTAAGGTAATGACATGGAATGGCAGGGAGGAAAATGATATAGGAGGGCAAGAGGAAGGACACCTGGGATTGGTGGGAGTGGGGATAGAAGGACAGCATGGCAGACAGGGGTCAGTGTGGGAGGAAGGATAGGTTGTCATGGGAAATGTAACACTGGCATGGAGATGGAATAGTTTCAGAATAATGGAGTGGTGAACAGGGATAGAATAGGATGATGATGTGGGATAGGAATGAAATAGCGATGGGAAGAATGTGATCCTTATGAGAGAGATTACATGTAAAAGATGGAACGGCATGAGATGGGGATATAAAGCAATATTTTTGCATTAAAGATACTAATTACACTGCAAATGTTTCACAGTCCTCTGCCAGATTTCTGTTGAAAGATTGGTGCATCTGTCTTCTGTCAATTTAATATAAATGTAACAATTTAGGAACATATCAGGCAACTGGATGCAAATTTCAATCATATGATGGTTGTTGCTGCCTAGGAGTGCATTTTTTCTGAGATCTGTATCTGAATGCTTAACAAAATAAGTTAATTGGTAGCTTACCTTGAGGTAAATAAATACAATCTGATCACCATTTGGAGATATGGCTGCAGGATAACAAGGACTGGGTCCTGAAATTGAGAGGTACATGACAAGAAAAATAGGAAGCTGGATAAATATGGAGGGAGGACACAGTTAATCAAGTACAGTGGTTAGAACTAAGATTGACTAAGGAGATATTAGGATATAGAATCAGTTTGGATGAAGTTGTGGAAAAGTAAAAGAAGGAATTCACTGATGGGAGTAGTCTGCAGTGATCACAATTTGAGACAAAGTATCCAGGAAATCTTGGGTGCTTGTGTTACAGGGACATCAATATTCCTGGGCATCTTTAATCTACAGATAACTGGTCAATTCAGATTGACAACAGTCACCCAGATGGATAGTTCATCAAATGTTTTTGTGATAGTTCCTTTGAGTCGCACGTTTTGGAATGAACCAGAGAGAGGGTTTTAATTGAGTCTGTGTTGTGTAATGGGACAGGACTAATGAATGGCCTCTGTGTAAAGGCAGCAGTGACTACAATACGATTAAAATTTACACCCAGTTTGAAAGGGAGAAGATTTATTATAAGGGCCATATTTTAAACAAAAATAAACGCAACTCTGTGTGTATGAAAACTAAGCTAGATGAAGGGATTGATCATTAGAGGCATGGTAGCAGACTTTAAAGGGATATTTCTGAATACTCAAAGCAAGTATGTTCCTGCCATAAAGAAAAATCCTAAAGAGAGAACCACTATCCAGGGTTAAAAAGGAGTTAGGGAAAACATGAAACATAAGAGAAAAGAATATAATTGTGCAAAGACAGGTGGCAGGTCAGATGATTGGTCAGAATATAAAGAACAGCAGAACATGCCTAGAAAGTTAACCAGGAGGAAGAAATTAAAGTATAGAGGAATCTAGCTAGAAGTATAAAAATGGATAGCAAGAGTTTTTACAGGTATTTAAGAAGGATGAGTATAAAATTTGTTTTGGGCCTCAGGAGAGTGCAAATTGGGATTAAATTGTAGATGATAAGGAAATGACAGGTTCAATGAACAACTATTCTGCTTCTGCATTCAATATAGAAAATACAAACAACATTCTAATTAATAACTGTAAATCAGGAACTGGAACAGATAGATGAACTTGGCTTAATTATGATTACAAAGGAAGTGATACTGTGCAAACTGATGAAACTGCAGGTCCTGACAAGCTTTTGGGATGCTATATTTTATTGAAAATGGAATTGAACATAAAAGTAAGGATCTTATTATTTTCTTATTTGCCAGACCACATCTCAAATGCTATTCCTTATTTAAGGATGGCTGTAAATGTGTTAGAGGTGGTTTATTACATTGATAGCTGGAATGAATGGGTTGTTTTATGAGAATAGGAAGGCACATGCAATGTTAGGATTCATTTCAAGAGGACTAGAATACAAAAGCGTAGATGTACTGCTGAGGCTGTATAAGGCTCTGGTTACACTGCATTTGGAATATTGTGAGCAGTTTTCGAGCCTGTATCTAAGGAAGGATGTGCTGGTATTGGCTGGTCCAGAGCAGCTTCACAAGAATGAGCCTGGAATTGAAAGACTTGTCATATGAGGAGTGGTTGAGGATTCTGGGTCTGTGCCTGATGGAGTTTAGAAAGATGAAGGGGGACTTGATTGAAACTTATGGAATACTGAGAGGCCTGGATAGAGTGGATGTGGAGAAGATGTTTCTACTAGTAGGAGAGACTAGGACCCAAGGGCACAACCTCAGAACAAAGGGATGACCCTTTAGAACAAGAAGAGGAGGAATTTCTTCGGCCAGAAGGTAGTTAATCTGTGGAACTCATTGTCTCAGAACACTATGGAGGCCAAATTATTGAGTGTATTTAAGACAGAGATAGATAGGTTCTTGATTGTTAGATGGAAGAAGGATTACAAGAAGATAGGAGAATGGGGTTAAGAAACTTACCAGCTTTGATCAAACGGCAGAGCAGACTCCATGGTCTGAATGGCCTAATTTTGCTCCTATACTTTATGGTTATCGTCTTTTGATAGGTTGGACGGATGGATGTATTTTCACTGAAGTATAGAAGAGTGAGAGGTGACTTGATTGAAGTGTACAGCACCCTGAATGGTCTTGATGGGGGTGATGTGGAAAAGATATCTTCTCTTATGTGTGAATTTAGAACTAGAGAGCGCCGTTTTAAGTTCGGGGCCACCCTTTCAGGACAGAGATTGGGTAATTTCTTTCTCTCAGTGAGTTGTACAACTTTGGAACTTTGCCTCAGGACGCAGTGGAGATGAGTAATTAAATGTTTTAAGAGAGAGGCGATAGATTCCTGCTGGGCCAGAGAATCAGACATTACCATAGGTATTTGGGAATGTGGAATTCAAAACACAAACAGATCAGCCATGATCTTATTGAATGGTGGAACTGGCTCATATGTTTATTGTACGTTCATATGTTTATACCTTAGTTTTCTAAAAAATCCCTGCAGGCAACTCTTCCTGTATGTGTCAAATTTGATTGTATTATATATCCATGCAGTAGTATTTCCTTAAGTTATCAACTGTTTTTTTTTGGCTGAAAAGCTAATGAGGCACAGTTACAAAACCTGGAGTTTCCCACATGCAGCCAATATCACTTCCTAGAGATGTGTTTGTCTGGGATACATGGTGCATCCAGAACTTCACACAAAATGCAGGATGCACATTCCACTTGGCCAAGCTGACTTGCCATCCCTGTAACTTTGCGAACTACGTACCACAATTAGAATAGTAGAAAGCTTACCAGTACTCACCGGTTAGCTTATTCCCTGCACTGAAGTAAGAGCCAACTACCGGAGGTAGGGCCTCATCAAACAGCTGGCTTTTTATCCCTATTGCAGAGTAAGAACTAATCATAATCAGCTCCAGTGAATGAAAAACAGACACCATTATGGTCCCCATTTCAAACTCCTTTCCCCAACTATTCAAATTATCCCTCTCAATGGCAACAGTCTTTTTGCAGCCTTAGTGTCATATTTGACCCCAAGATGATTTTCTGACCACATATACATGCTATCACTAAGAAAGCCTACTTCTACCTCTGCAACATTACTCAGTTTGCTTCAGCTGATCTTCTGTTGAAAACCTTACATCTTTATCTTTAGACTTAACTATTCCAACTTGCTCCTGATTTGTCTCTCACATTTAGTTCTCTTGTGCTCTATGGGTTACATTGTCTCCTGGTCAAGTCATGTCTTGATTGTAAGATATTCTTTCTTGCTGTTAAATCTCTTCTATGGGCCATGTCTCTCCTAATGTCAAAAATTTCATCCAGTCCTACAACTCTCTAGGATATCAACTATGCCTTAATTCTGTCCTCTTGAACTTCTTAATTTGGAATGGTACACCAGTCGAGACTGTGCATTTAGTTGCTGACAATCTAAGTTCTGAAATCCTTTCCTATATCTTGATCTCCTGATCTTGCCTCCTCTTTTAATGAGACTCTTCTAAATTTGTTGAAGTATCAGTTTTGCAATGATATGACTGATAAATTAAGGGTTGATGCTGCACCATACTCAGAACATTTTTGATGTAGTCTGGGTCATTTACATCTGCTTAAAAAAGGCGAAAGAACTTTGGATGCTGTAAATCAGACACAAAAACAGAAATTATTGGAAGAGCTCACCAGGTCTGCGGAAGGGTCACTCAGCCCATAATGTTAACTCTCTCTACAGATGCTGCCAGACCTACAGAGCTTTTCCAGCAATTTCTGTTTTTGGATCTACTTCTGCTGTCAGTCTTAAATCAAAGCAGTTTCGCCATTAGAATCTCTACTGTGAACATGAAACCCATCAGAAAAATCTTAAAATCTTGTAAATGGTAGGCTGCCAGAAAGCAGTATATGTCTTTGTTATAAGTCTCAGGATTTCTTTCAACTAAATACAAGTTGCTTTGATAGCATGCAGCATTTTTAAAGTAGTGGCAAACATTTTGAAGTTGGTCACATGTTTTGTGACATCTTATTGCCAACCATTGGTTAAAATTGTTTAGAAACCTTTGACCTGGTCATCTTGACCCACTAGAACAGCATCACCTTTTTTTTAGTGTTGAGCATTTAGATTTTCCTTCAAACTTCCAGGTACTTACTTTCTCTCCTTCCTCTAGGTACTGGCAAAAAGGTATGTATATTCACAGCTGAAGTTCCAAATGA